CACTATTACTGGCAAGTCCATTCCTGACACCTGCATCTCCTCTGTTCCTGACCGGATGCTCTGCCTGATTTTACTGAGTTTACACCTTGGGTCGCAAGTTCTGCAATCAACATCTGCAGGCACTCATGTTCCTCGGCACCATCTGTTCCAACTTCAGTGGGGCCTGGGCTGGAGATACGAGAGAGGCTGAGTTCGTCAATTCAGACTTTGGCCAGGTACGTGACACAAGCTTTCTACACAAAGGGCCTGTTTGCTGTCCTTCAGACTTTAGGGAGGTTGGACTGTGGCCAGTGGGAGCCGAAAATATCCTGGTTTCAGTAGCTTTAAACATTGCCCTATCTTTGGTGTCAGTGAGAGGAACAGTTAAAATTGAAGCGCCACACCACTGCTAAGATGCCTACATACAACTTTATTCCATTAAAGGTCGGGGGTATAATTTAAGAAGCAGCCAACATGTTTCGGGGTCTAAATGCTCCCTTCATCAGGGCTAGAAAGAACATAAGAAAATGTAGGCACATACCAGTTTTGAGAGTTTTTACACTATTTTTTTTTCTTTTTTTATTAGGATAACACATCACTACTTCTTCTTATTATTATATTTTACATAATTTTTTTTTTTGGTTTGTTTTTCAGCACCTATTTTCTCATTTTTATGTAATTTATTTTGATACTCTCATTACAATTGACTGGTTTTAATTATGACCCTGTGGAGGAGACATTCTGTTGATGTCAGATTGATATGAAAATCTTCTTGGGTTCTTCCTAACCTCCCAAAACACGTTGGTTACTTCTCAAATTATACCCCCGACCTTTAATGGAATAAAGTTGTATCTGAACCTCTTACAGTGGTGTGGCGCTTCAATTTCAACTCTTCTCACATTACACTACAAGCCAGGGAGACTGTGAAGATCCCCTATGGTGTACAAACCACCTGCCCAGGGACCAGATCATTTACATAAACATTAATATCTTTAAGATAACAATACCAGTGAAATGTACCTGTGGGACCAGCACTATCTTTCCACTTTTCACAACAGTGGGAGGATTAGAGCATGCCCAATGATTAATGTCACTGGGAGGGATTGTGCCCCATCATTGGTGTCAATGGGAGGAATTATGCATCAGTGGGCGGAACAGTGGCCCATCATTGGTATCGGAGGGTGGATTAGTGCCCCATCATTGGTGTCAGTGGGAGGCATAGTGCCCCATCATTGGTGTCAGTGGGAGGCATAGTGCCCCATCATTGGTGTCAGAGGGAGGCATAGTAGCCGATCATTGGTATCAGTGGGAGGAATAGTGTCCCATCATTGGTATCAGTGGGAGCAATAGTGCCCCATGATTGTATCAGTGGGAGGAATAGTGCCCCATGATTGGTATCAGTGGGAGGAATAGTGCCCCATGATTGGTATCAGTGGGAGCAATAGTGCCCCATGATTGGTATCAGTGGAGCAATAGTGCCCCATGATTGGTATCAGTGGGAGCAATAGTGCCCCATCATTGGTATCAGTGGGAGCAATAGTGCCCCATCATTGGTATCAGTGGGAGGAATAGTGCCCCATCATTGGTATCAGTGGGAGCAATAGTGTCCCATCAGTGGGAGGAATAGTGTCCCATCATTGGTGTCAGTGGGAGCAATAGTGTCCCATCAGTGGGAGGAATAGTGTCCCATCATTGGTGTCAGTGGGAGCAATAGTGTCCCATCAGTGGGAGGAATAGTGCCCCATCATTGGTATCAGTGGGAGCAATAGTGTCCCATCAGTGGGAGGAATAGTGTCCCATCATTGGTGTCAGTGGGAGGAATAGTGCCCCATCATTGGTATCAGTGTGAGGAATAGTGCCCATCATTGGTGTCAGTGTGAGGAATAGTGCCCATCATTGGTGTCAGTGTGAGGAATAGTGTTTCATCATTGGTATCAGTGGGGGGGAATAGTGTCCCATCATTGGTATAAGTGGGGGGGAATAGTGTCCCATCATTGGCATCAGTGGGAGCAATAGTGTCCCATCATTGGTATCAGTGGGAGCAATAGTGTCCCATCAGTGGGAGGAATAGTGTCCCATCATTGGTGTCAGTAGGAGGAATAGTGCTCCATCATTGGTATCAGTTGTAAGAATAGTGCCCCATCATTGGTATCAGTGGGAGGAATAGTGCCCCATCATTGGTGTCAGTGGGAGGAATAGTGCTCCATCATTGGTATCAGTGGGAGGAATAGTGCCCCATCATTGGTGTCAGTGTGAGGAATAGTGCCCCATCATTGGTGTCAGTGTGAGGAATAGTGTCCCATCATTGGTGTCAGTGGGAGGAATAGTGCCCCATCATTGGTATCAGTGGGAGGAATAGTGTCCCATCATTGGTGTCAGTGGGAGGAATAGTGCCCCATCATTGGTATCAGTGGGGGGGAATAGTGCCCCATCATTGGTGTCAGTGGGAGGAATAGTGTCCCATCATTGTTATCAGTGGGGGGAATAGTACCTCCTTGTAAGTGGATAGAATAGTGCCCCAAGGGCTGAATAACGGCAAGTAAAGGAATACATCTTGCCCCTGTGCTGCAGTTTGGAAACCACTTGTCTAGGGGATGATGAATAGTGTGAATTACTTACTTTATTCCTCACTTAACCAGAAGCCAATGCTCTTCTCTGCTGTTTGAAGCTCCCAGGATATGGGGCCCTCAGCATCTTCATGTACAACACAGGACCACTGCAACCAGTTGGATAGAGAAGAGAAGCAGCTTTGGGGAGACCAGTCTTACAAAGAGGAAGAGGTCTGAGGGTACAAAGAATAAAATAAGTATTTTATGTTATTCTGATCCCTCCTAGTTAAAATGAGCATGTAGCCCTTGCAGTGCAGTGAGGGAACTACAAAGGTGTCACATACCTAGTAGAGGCCAAACTGATTAGAGGGGCTCTCCCTTAAACCACATGTCCTGTTTTTTCCCCAAAAATTGATGACAGGGTAGGGCAGGACACAGTGTGACATGGGTGCCTGAAGAAAGCCCTGTCCACCAGAAGACGTGGATCCTGCAGTGAACTTGATGCTGAAGAACGGGAACTCGTTCCAGATGTTGTCGCAGAGCTTGCAGGAGCCAGGAACATAGTCAGACAGGTAGAAATTGGCAGTAGCCGTGCAGCGGAGGTACAGATAGAGAAGACAAGAGCACAAACAGGAGCTAATATCAGATGTGCAGGAGATGAGCCAAAACGAAAAGCAGCATGCAGAGTCTAGAAACAAGCACTAGGTCCAGAGGGATCAAGATCAGACATAGTCAGAAGGTAAACCGAGTACACCGCAAGATCAGGCAAGGTCTGGCCATGGGTCACAAGAGCTAAGCACCACTCAGCAATGATATTGAGCTTTGCAGTGCTTTAAAAAGGTCACTGGGTGCCAAATGTCCATTCAATGTGCATGCTTAAGCACACCATTCCTTGCCCGTGGGCAGGACTGAGACAAAACCTTGTCAATACAGTTCTCCAACCCCGAAACATCAAAAGTTGAAAAAATTTGCATAACAAAAGATCTATTATATTCACTACTGGTGGATAGTTTGCTTGAAGACTGTTTATAGCCATCACAACTGACACATTATCTGAATTAAAAACAACTGGTGTGTGGGCTAGAAAACTGTCTCCACTAAGGGAAAGAATTTCAAAAATTGCTAAACTTATCTTGAAGGCCTTAAAAAAAATAGATTGCGACCAGGAAGGATTTTTAGTATGGAACAGATGGAGTCTATCTCTGCTGCAATAAAGGCTTCTAACCTATTTAGGAGTTACATCATCCTAAGCCGGCCAATCAAAATGGTGGAAGACCCCGTAACAAGAAGCTGGAGAGAAAAAGTTCTTACCTTCTTCCTTGAAACATCCTTTCCTTGAACACTGAGATGTACAGGAGTTACGTCATCCCATGCCGGCCAATCAAGAAATCCAAAGACCCCATACCAGGAAGAAGTTAGAGAGAAGACATTCTTACTTTGTTGCTCAAAGTATCCTTCACACTGAGATGAGTATAGGCAGGAGTTACGTCATCCCATGCTGGCCAATCAAGAAACCCGAAGATCCCATACCAGGAAGAAGTTAGAGAGAAGATATTCTTACTTTCTTCCTCAAAGTATCCTTCACGCTGTACACTGAAATGAGTATAGGCAGGAGTTACGTCATCCCACGCCAGCCAATCAAGAAGGCCAAAGATCCCACAACAAGTAGAAGCTGGGGAGAAGGCATTCTTACCTTCTTCCTTGATACATCCTTTACCCTGTACACTGAGATGCACATGTGCAGGAGTTACATCCTCCCATGCTGGCCAATCAAGGCAGTGAAAGACCCCAAAACAAGAAGAAGCTGGAAAGAAGACGTTCTTACCTTCTTTCTTGAAGCATCCTTTTCCCTGTAAGTTGAGATGCGCACGTGCAGGGGTTACGTCACCCCATGCCGTCCAAACAGGAAGCCCATTAGGAAGTCGTCAGGGAGAAGGAAGCAGAAGGAGAATCGCCCCACCGATGAAGGAAGTGGGAACAGCATCCACAAGTAGTTTCAAAGACTATATACGATGAGGGGATGGACGCCACTCAGACCTGTCCCTGGAGCCTGATGTAGATGGAAGATGGAATGGCCTTAGCCGCCACTCTGGCCACGCCCACTGACACGTTTTTCTCTGCCCACCGGGGGGCTTGATCAAAGAGGCTTGCAGGAATAGAGTGGGCAAGGTTTATATGAGCATCATCGGCCATGACTAGGGAGAATATAGTCATGTGAACAGGTGTGCGGAAAGTTGTGAGTAGAAAAAGAAAGGGAAAAAGTGGACAAGGGAAATTTAATATGGAAAAAAATGCAATAAAAAGGAAAAAAAAAAAACAGGAAAAAAAGAAGAAAAGAAATAGGAAAAAAAATTATAAACAATGAAACTCTAAAAAAGTAAAGAGAAGAACAAAAAAAAAATTAAAATAAAATAAAAAGAGTGAAAAAAGAAAAAGAATATATATATACTGTATGTACCGATACACACATCGAAAACAGGCCATCACTGGCTTGGGAAAGTATCTGATCAAACAAGTAATTGTAAAAACTTAAAGCACCCCCCCCCCCCCGTGCTCATGCACAAAGGCGAACCGTATTCATATGTAAACAATGTTCCTATTGCCACAGAAGTCAGTGTGTATTTCAATCCCCTCCATGGACACAGGTGTATACAATCAAGCCCCTAGACATGCAGACTGCTTCTACAAACATTGGTGAAAGAATGGGTCGCTCTCAGGAGCTCAGTGACTCCAAGCGTGGTCCCGTGATAGGTGGTCACCTGTGCAATAAGTCCATCCGTGACATTTCCTGGATACTAAATATTCCACGCTCAACTGTTAGTGGGATTATAACAAAGCGGAAGCAACTGGGAACAGCAGCAACTCAGCCACCAAGTGGTAGGCCACGTCACATGACAGAGCGGGGTCAGCGCATGCTGAAGCGCACAGTGCGCAGAAGTCACCAACTGTCTGCAGAGTCAATAGCTAAAGACCTCCAAACTTGGTGTGGCCTTCAGATGAGCACAACAACAGTGTGTAGAGAGCTTCATGGAATGGGTTTCCATGGCCGAGCAGCTGCATCCAAGCCTTACATCACCAAGTGCAATGCAAAGCATTGGATACCATGGTGTAAAGCACGCCGCCACTGGACTCTAGAGCAGGGGAGATGTGTTCTCTGGAGTGACCAATCACGCTTCTCTGACTGGAAATCTGATGGACATTTCTGGAATTGGCTGTTGCCAGGAGAACGGTACTTGCCTGACTGCATTGTGCCAAGTGTAAAGTTTGGTGGAGGGGGGATTATGGTGTGGGGATGTTTTTCAGGAGTTGGGCTTGGCCCCCTAGTTCCAGTGAATGGAACTCTTACGGAGACATTTTGGACAATTTCATGCTCCCAACTTTGTGGGAACAGTTTGGGGATGGCCCCTTCCTGTTCCAACATGACTGCCCACCAGTGCACAAAGCAAGGTCCATAAAGACATGGAGGAGCCAGTTTGGGGTGGAGGAACTTGACTGGCCTGCACAGAGTCCTGACCTCAACCCCATAGAACACCTTTGGGATGAATTAGAGCGGAGACTGTGAGCCAGGCCTCCTCCCCCGACATCAGTGCCTGACCTGACAAATGTGCTTCTGGAAGAATGGTCCAACCTTCCCATAGACACCCTCCTAAACCTTGTGGATGGCCTTCCCAGAAGAGTTGAAGCTGTTATATCTGCAAAGGGCGGGGCCAACTCTATATTGAACCCTACGGACTAAGACTGGGGGCCATTAAGGGTCATGTGCGTGGAAAGGCCGGCGGCCCAATACTTGGGGCAATATAGTATGTACTGTATATATAATGTTCAGGGGGGGTCTAACATTTTCTAACAAACAGATGACTTTTACGTGTAGGAGAAGTCCAGATTGGACAATTGAATTGAATAAAAAGGGGTGACACGGGTGTCGCTGTTCTTATGACAACACCGAGACGGACGAAGACAGATCATCCCACTCCGTTTGATATAAAAAAGGAATTGTGATATTTTCAGACCAGAAGAATTTAAAAACCTGCGCCAAAGTTTTCCGGACGCCTGGAAATCGTCCAGTTTGTTTCGAGGGGATTTAAAAAAACAAAAAAACAAAACGGAGTTTTGATTTGAATTTTCGGTGATTTCCACTGTGTGGAATCAAACTTCACCAGCAGATGGAGCTGTTGCTCAACTGTAAAGACCTCCGGCGTCTGGTCCTGACATCCTCAGATATCAACTGGTAGAAAAAATTCTGGATTTTGTTTTTTTTTTTCTTTCATTCGATTTTTGCTTTAACCCCTTCCTGCCTTAGGGAGCACAGCCATTTGCAATGTTTATTTTGCAGGTACTTAAATCCCCCCCCCTCCAGTCTTCACAGTTGTACTGGCTCCTCTCCTGGACTTAGGCCAGCCATACAAGGACCTACGAATAATCGGCTGATTCTCGTTCTGTTAGTGAAGCAATGGCACCGGCCGATTTTTGTGGTTCCTCCACATTTCATTTATCGGGCATGCTGGAAAATTCGTGAAAAACAACCGATTTTCTAAATCATTGGTGGTACCATCGGATTACAGAATGAACGATCTTTTTGATTTTCGCTTGAAAAATGGTTCAGAATTTGACCCATGTATGGCCTGCTTTACTCTGATTTCACTGCACACTGTGAGCGTCTCACCATGTGGATTAGAAGCTGCAGCAAGTCAGAGAGAGCTCCGCCCCATTTCCTGGCTGGAGGACGTCCAGCATCATCTAATCTTTCCTCTCCAGCCGGACTGTCCCTGGTCCCACCCCTTTCATCAATTTGGATTTAATTTCTTTTCATCATGGAAGCTCAGCATCACATGTGGGCGTTACCTATGCAAATACAACCTGCCTAGGAACGCCCACTCCTCCAGACTGACCTCCACTCATCAAGACATTTTGATATTTGCATAACTCCTCCCACTGTTTGCAATAGCTCTTAGGGCTTTTGAGAGGAGTAGTG